TTAGACTTGGGAGTAAGTAAGAGAGTTTTCCTGAGCAAGATGGATCAGAAGACCACTCAGTAGCTCACTGGTGGTTCCTTGAAGATTTTTCTTTCAGTATGTCATTAAGTTCCTGGGCCATTTCCAAATCCTGGGATTGGTTAGCTGCAAAAATCTGTTCCAGTCCAGGTATAGTGGTATACACTTTCAGTCCCAGCACTTAGGAGGCAAAGGCAGGCTAACCTTTGAGTTTGACACCAGCCCAGTCTACATAGCAAGTTCTAGGCCAGCCAGTGCTACATAGTGAGACTGTGTAAAACAAAACAAAACAAAGCTCCCTGTTCTGATGCTGACTCATTTACACTGACGGCTCCACTACTTAAATGGAGAGAAAGTCAGGTCACCTGGCTTGAGCTCACCACCTGTAATACAGCCAGCTGAAAACCAGGGGTTCTCCTAGAGCAGTGCCACCTTGCTAGGATTCCTTACAGGTGGCACAGTGCTAACGGGTAGTAGTCAAGAATGCTAACTACTAAAACACTTGTGAAATTGCCCCTCAAATTCAAGTGTCCTTAACGAAACACTGATTTCCTATCACTTCTTCTGTGTATTTGAAATCAGTGAAGTGTTCATAAAGTTATGACATGTAATTATCAGAAACTGGCTATTACTGCACTCCTAACCTCTGGACCTCTGGTCATGTGTTTGGGAACTAATGTTCATTATTCACATTGAAATATGAGCTGGGTTTCTCTCTCTCCCTTCCTTCTTCTTCCTTCCTTCCTTCCTTCCTTCCTTCCTTCCTTCCTTTTGCCTTAAAGGTAATACCATCCACCACCAAAGGCCATCTTTTCTGAGTTAGCCATGCTAGGCACTGTGATTGGACTTGACCTTCTTAATATAAATTATCTTACTACAGCCTCTACAGGATTCCTAATGTGTAGTAGCATTGGTTCTTCAGGAATATTTATTGACATTCTACATAAACTAACTTTATATTTTAGCCAGCCCACAGAAACAGGAATTTCCAGCAAGAATGTGTCCTTGAAGACTGTCTTGCAGCATATTGAAGCCACACCGAAAATTGTCCACTATGCAATCCTGGGTATACAGAAATGGAGCAGCAAGCTGACGTCTCAGAGCCTAAAGGCCCCATTCTCAAGATGTCATGTGCACGATTTCATTCTCCTCAATATAGACCTGACTCAGAATGTACAGTATGACTTCAACAGGTAGGTCAGGCCCCGTGGACACAGGGCATCCTGGCATCTATTGGTGGATGTTGCCCACTACAGCCTCTGCCCTGTTTTTGTTCTGCCTTGGACCATAAGCCCCCTCCAACTACCTTCCCTTGCCCACAACTCCTATGTGACCCAGGTTGGCCTCACACTTGAGATCCTTCTAAGTGCTGGGATTATAGGCATGTGTCACCACACCCAGCATGACCTAGCTCCTTGACACTATAATGTAAAATGATCAGAAAACACAGGTTAGCCACCTGATTATTCAAGAAGAATTCAAATAAAACAAAAACCATTGAGTCGCTTCTGATCAACCAGTGCACCTGTGAACATTCAACGTTAATCTCGTTTCATTCTCAAAACTAGGGAGGAAATCACTCTCTCCAATGTTGTAAGACCCACAGCTCTTCCAAGAGGGAGAAGGCAGCAGTCAGGCCCCTTGAATTAATCATATGCACATTTCTGAGAAATCTGTAATGGCCAAGGAATGATGTCAAGAGAATGGTATCACTCTTAATGCCCACCCCCAACCTGTAGCTATTAGAATACCCACTGCTTCCATGCATCATCCTGTGTGTGACCAGACCTCTGGCTCTCCTGAACACAGGATATATAGTCCTGTTTCTGACAGGACTACCCTAAAACCCTGTGGCCTAACAGACAGAAGTCCTCTTTTTCTCCTCCCTTTAAAGCTGTAATGCTCAAATCAGTAGAATGTGGGCTAGCTCCTCAAGGACAAGGTGATGTTTTGGGCCCTCCCCTAATGTCTGCCACATTTCTTTATGGAGTTATCATAGCTAAGTTGTGAAGGGGAGTCAAAGAAGCCTCCTGTTGTGGTTATGATTTAAGTTCTTCTATAAAACCTCCTGTTGAGGTTGTGATTTAGGTGTTTCTGTGAAACTTCCTGTTGTGGTTATGATTTAGGTACTTCTGTGAAGACGTCGACTTTAACCTGAGAACAAACAGCAGTGGCCTGCTCATCTGCCGCTTCAATAGCTTCAGTCTCATGAAGAAGCGTGTTCAGGTCGGAGGGCAAAGGGACTTTATCATTAAACCAAAGATCATGGTAAGCTTGTAGAGCTTGATTCCACTGTTGAGAACAAGCACAGATGCTTGCTTATGAATAGTGCTGTAACTAAAGTCCTGGCATTGGACACGTGCTTTTCTGCTGGACGAGGGAGGGAAGGAACTCAAGTCCTCAGCATCAGCTGTGCAGTTTCACCTGTCAGCCGAGTCCCGGGCAGAAAACACAAAACTGTTTCAGAGTTGAGCCTGAAGGATTCCACCAAAGCTTGCCTATTCATCCACCCCCCCACCCACCTAGCCATCCGAGGCAGGGTCCTTCTACAGAGCTGTGGGGAACTCACTAGGACCAGGCTGGCCTCGAACTCAAAGATCCCCCTGCTTCTGCCTCTAGAGTGCTGGGATTAAAGGCGAGTGCCCAGCTGCAAAGCTTTATTTTCAAGACAGCCATCTTTATGTTTTCTCCTTATGTAACACAGGAGAGAAATAAAAATACTTGTGTATGTGTATGTGTGGTGCCTGTGGAGGCCAGAAGAGGGTGCTGGATCCCCTGAATCTTGAGTTACAGTGGTCATGAGCCACCATGTGGCTACTGGGAACCAAACCTTGGTCTTCTGCAAGAGCAGCTAATGCTCTTCACCACTGAGCCCTCTCTCCAGCCCCAACAGTCCTCCTCATATGGAGTTTACCATCACTACCATGGCTTGAAAATACTATACCTTGGTTCTCAAGAGACCACACTCAGAAATTCAGAAATTCTAGTGTGTGTATTTGTGTGTGTGTAAACATTCATGGAAGGCTCAGTGCTACATGTAACTTCAGGTATCCTTTGGGGGTGCTGTATATGGAAGTCATTAGTATGCAATCCAATGTAATCTTAGACATTTCATTTACTGACAGGCACATTTGCCATGACCATCTGATTTCAGGTTTCAGAGAGCTTAGCTCCTATCTTGCCCCTTCAGTACGTCTGTGCTCCCGACAGTGAACACACTCTACTGGCAGCCCCTGCACAGTTCCTCCTGGAGAAGTTCCTTCAACACGCCTCATATAAACTCTTCCCCAAAGCCATCCATAACTTCAAGAGTCCTGTACTGGCCATTGACTGCTACCTTAACATTGGACAGGAGGTAAAGACTCGACTGACTAGTCCTGGGTACCCCATCCATTTCTTTCCCTTTATAGGTCCATTGATAAGGAGCCAGTGAGTGACAGTATGACTCGAAGGGTCCCACAAGCAAAGGATTGGCCAGTGACTTGGTGGTTCCTGAGATGTCAGCTGCTTTGAGCAGCCTGCCCTTATGGCAGGGACAGAAGTAGCTACTTGGTCTACTTGTTTTGACATTGACAGTTGTCATTATGTGGATTTTCTCAAGATTTGGTTCTTGAAAGGCACACCATATCTTAGCAGATACAACAAGAGCTCAACGATTACTGAACAAATAAGTACAAGCTATGTACACCTTTGTCCATTCTTCAAGTTCTTCACCTGTCCAGTCTAGTTTTTCAATTGCCATTTGCATCTCCAGGTTTCTGCCACTAAGTTTTTCCTTTGGATTATCTTGAGAGTCTATTTCATTATCTTCAATAATGTACTATATCCTTATAATGAATTTGAAAAAAATACATATATACACTAGAGCTGGCAAGATGGTATGTCTCAGTGGGTAAACTGAACTCAAGCTCAATTCCTGGAGTCCCCATGGTGGAGAGAACCAACTCCTGCAAGTTGTCCTCTGCACTTCACATACCCACCATGGCATATGCATGACCAAAATTAAGAGAGAAACAAAGAACAAAATAAACTACTCATAACCTGAACAAGAACATTTTCCTGTCCCGGAATTTTAGCCCTTTTCTTTGCACATATTCATAAACACATTTATCCAAACACAAACTCTATTAAGTCTTAGTACATTCAATAAATCAAATCTAACTTAATAATCCATGCTTTGGGCTATGCCATTAATTTTATAAATAAAAATTTTAAAATCATATGATGGCTGAGTATGGAGGCACATGTCTGTAAACCCAGCATTCCAGGAGCTAGCTGGGGTTACAGAATGAGATTCTGCCTTAAAACAAAAGAACCAACCATATGCCAATACAATCTCAATACCAACAGCAGCTAATATTTGCTGAATACTGAACAGACTATACTAATAATTCAAAAATACTTCTAACAGGTTTTCTTACCTATGTAGATGAAGAACTGTATCCCACATGACAACTAACTGAAGAAACCAGTGTTTGAATTCAAGCCAAGTTTACTCCATTGTTCCCTCTACTATCCTGTCGTTTTTCTGCAATGTCTGTCGTTACTGTCTAGGCATGGAAGCCATATGGATCTAAAAACTAATTCATGTTGTCTTAAGCTTCTTTCAAAGTGAAATATTTAGTCTTTCCTAATTGTGCCTTTCTTATGGAATGTGGTATTGTTTTGCTTTACTATTTATGTGTGTGGGGGGTCATATGGGCATTTTATCTGTATGTGCATCATGTACATGCTTGGTGCCCATGGAGGTCAGAGGGGGATGTAGGATCCCTTGGGACTGAAGTCACAGATGATTGTGAGCTACCAATGTAGATGCCAGGGATCAAACCCAGGGGCCTCTGAAAGAGCAGCCAGTGCTCTTAACCATCAAGCTAACTCTCTAACCCCAGAATGTAGGGCATTAAAAAATTTACACACACACACACTCTTAATATTTCCGCAAGAAAAATGATTTACTACTTTTACTCCTAAATAAGTACAAAGCTTGAATAATCGACCCACTTATATTGAGAAAGCTTGGCGCTCACCTTGCATCCCAAACTGAAAAGGAAAGCATTGACTACAGTGCTCCTTAGCAAAAGTACAGCCCCTTTATTTGCTTTTGACATGTGTTTGTTTTTTCTGCTTACTACTTTCAGGTAGCCATATGCTACATCAGCTCCAGACCCCACTCCAACAATGTCAATTGTGAAGGAGTGTTTTTCAGTGGACTTCTCTTGTACCTCTGTGACTCTTTTGTGGGTGCTGATCTTCTTAAGAAATTCAAGTTTCTAAAAGGTAAGTCAAATTTAGTGTCTTGAATGTGAATGCCATTGTCAATAGAGAAAAAAAAATCAAGAGTTGAATGTCATAAACAAAAGCAAAA